CACAATCGTTTTTCTTTTTTTGTTGGCTCGCTGTCCCTAGTAAGCCCTTCCTTTTCTAACAAAAAAAATTCAACCCTTTTGCACATAAATTAACATTGAACCAAACTACAGCCTGGCACAAATATTCAACACAAATCTACACAAATAAAAAAATAACGAAGGTATGAATTTTTTTAGAGTAACATCTCAATGCCAAATATACTTAATCCAAATATTAATACTTGATCCAAATTTCCTTTTAACCAATTTACTTGCAATTTAAAAAATAATGAAGGTATGAATTTTTTTAGAGTAACATCTCAATGCCAATATACTTAATCCAAATATTAATACTTGATCCAAGTTTCCTTTTAACCAATTTACTTGCAATTTATTTTATCACCAAGTTGATTTGAAAGCCACTTGGAAGATCAAGAATATATTATTATTCTTCCAATTATTTTCTTATCTAATTAATTTTTGTCAACTTTATTTATATTTATGTCGTTTGTTTCTTCGTTTATTTGACTTTGTAATAATTCTATTTATATGTATAGGTGAAGGATTGAATATTATTTGTACATAGGGTAAGTGCATGGTTATTGATTGTGTTGGTCGCTTTTCGACTTTGGTAATAAATTTCTCTATATTGAATAATTTGCTTGCTGTGGTCTACTATCTGTACGTCATTAATCCAATATATAGGTTCGTGCACCTAATTATTTACAAATATATCTATAATAAAGGTGTTTTAGCAGTCGTAACATTTATTGCATACGTATAACTATTCAAACGTTTATCGTTAATTTATTCTCACTATTACCTTTAAAGTATGTTTATATTGCAGGAACTATTTTATTATTACTATTTTAACTATTTTACATAGCGTTGGAAAAATTGTATGAAAAGAATGAGAATGAAATTGTAAAATAGCGGGAAAAGACATTTGTCAGAAATGAAATATTACAAAGACATATATATATATATTTACAGAGTGATGATTTTAACACATTACCGACCGATAGCCTATTAATCGACTGTTTTACCGGCCAACACTTACCGACCGATAGCGTATTAATCAACTGTTTTACCGACCAACGCTTACCGACCGATAGCCGATTAATCGACCGCTACCGGTCGGTAAAGTCTTAATATGGGAATGACAAATGGTAAAGTCGAATCATTCGAACATTTGTGAAGTTGTTAGTTTACCAATAAATTGATTTAGTGTGAAAAATTACAAAAATGTGATAAAAAATAATATCCAAGTTTCGCGATCGATTAATCGAATCGATATTATGCAGATGCTATGCAGTCGTAAAATCCAACGTTTATTTCACACTTTACTGGATTATCACAATTACAAATCACTTTTGCAATATTATTTATTTTAGAAGTGTTTATATAATTCGAAGCAAGCTTCATAATTTTTGTTATTAACCATTTGCTTGATTTAGGCTTTATGCAAGTATATTCCAAAAAAAATTTAGTGTTCGTCGCGATATGAAATTTTATCTCTTAATTTTAGTTTTATTTTGATGCAAAATTACATGAATATAGTTAATTGACATGGAACGCTATAACATTCAAATTTATAAGCAACATTATCATGCTTCATAATTTTTGTTATTAACCATTTGCTTGATTTAGGCTTTATGCAAGTATATTCCAAAAAAAAATTTAGTGTTCGTCGCGATATGAAATTTTATCTCTTAATTTTAGTTTTATTTTGATGCAAAATTACATGAATATAGTTAATTGACATGGAACGCTATAACATTCAAATTTATAAGCAACATTATCATGCTTCATAATTTTTGTTATTAACCATTTGCTTGATTTAGGCTTTATGCAAGTATATTCCAAAAAAAAATTTAGTGTTCGTCGCGATATGAAATTTTATCTCTTAATTTTAGTTTTATTTTGATGCAAAATTACATGAATATAGTTAATTGACATGGAACGCTATAACATTCAAATTTATAAGCAACATTATCATGCTTCATAATTTTTGTTATTAACCATTTGCTTGATTTAGGCTTTATGCAAGTATATTCCAAAAAAAAATTTAGTGTTCGTCGCGATATGAAATTTTATCTCTTAATTTTAGTTTTATTTTGATGCAAAATTACATGAATATAGTTAATTGATATGGAATGCTATAACATTCAAATTTATAAGTAAATTTACCATGCATTCAATTTTATATAATTTTTATTTTCTGAAATTATTATGCTCTTTAATGGCTAACTGGTCACTCGAATATTTTCATTTCATTTTGTCTCTGTATATTTAAAAAATTTCTTTTAGTTAGCACATTACGTAAATTAAGTGGAATTGCAAACTAGACGTTAATCACCTGTTCACTTTTGCAGCTTATTAAAATTTTTATTAGCCACGAACGTGTTAATATTACTTTCAATTTCAACTTATGTATCTTGGAATAATAGTGAACTATTATTTTGTTTTTTAACTTTCCTCAGTTTCTGTAATTTTTAATTTGTGTACCACGATCGATGGTTTCTATTTTGCTCGTTGGTAATTAAAAAAAAAGACACAGAAAAAAATTGGGTTAATAACAAACGATCATTTTATTTCTCAATTTTTGTCAGTTTGTGTACTTGTTAATTTTTATGCCACGATCGGTGATTTCTATTTTGCTAATTGGTAATTTAAAAAAGAAACACAGAAAAAATTGAGTTATGGAGGGTTAATAGCAAACAAGTGTCGTTTTTCTCAACTTTTGACTGTAATTGGTAATTTAAAAAAAAAACACAGAACACATTAGGTTACAGAGGGTTGATAGTAAACGATCTGTGATTTCTATTTTGCTAATTCGTAATTTAAGAAAAAAAAACACAGAAAGAATTGGGTTATAGAGGGTTAATAGTAAACCAGTGTTGTATTTCTCAATTTTTGTCAGTTTGTGTATTTATTAATTTGTATGCCACGATCGGTGATTTCTATTTTGCTAATTGACAATTTAAAAAGAAAAAAATTCACAAAAAATTGGGTTATGGGGGGTTAATAGTAAACGATCTGTGATTTCTATTTTGCTAATTGGTAATAAAAATAAAAAAACAGAAAATCGGTATATGGAGTATTAATAGCAAACGATCATTTTATTTCTCAATTTTTGTCAGTTTGTGTACTTGTTAATTTTTATGCCACGATCGGTGATTTCTATTTTGCTAATTGTTAATTTAAAAAAGAAACACAGAAAAAATTGAGTTATGGAGGGTTAATAGCAAACAAGTGTTGTTTTTCTCAACTTTTGACTGTAATTGGTAATTTAAAAAAAAAACACAGAACACATTAGGTTACAGAGGGTTGATAGTAAACGATCTGTGATTTCTATTTTGCTAATTCGTAATTTAAGAAAAAAAAACACAGAAAGAATTGGGTTATAGAGGGTTAATAGTAAACCAGTGTTGTATTTCTCAATTTTTGTCAGTTTGTGTATTTATTAATTTGTATGCCACGATCGGTGATTTCTATTTTGCTAATTGACAATTTATTCACAAAAAATTGGGTTATGGGGGGTTAATAGTAAACGATCTGTGATTTCTATTTTGCTAATTGGTAATAAAAATAAAAAAACAGAAAATCGGTATATGGAGTATTAATAGCAAACGATCATTTTATTTCTCAATTTTTGTCAGTTTGTGTACTTGTTAATTTTTATGCCACGATCGGTGATTTCTAATTTGCTAATTGACAATTTAAAAAAAAAAAAATTCACAAAAAATTGGGTTATGGGGGGTTAATAGTAAACGATCTGTGATTTCTATTTTGCTAATTGGTAATAAAAATAAAAAAACAGAAAATCGGTATATGGAGTATTAATAGCAAACGATCATTTTATTTCTCAATTTTTGTCAGTTTGTGTACTTGTTAATTTTTATGCCACGATCGGTGATTTCTAATTTGCTAATTGACAATTTATTCACAAAAAATTGGGTTATGGGGGGTTAATAGTAAACGATCTGTAATTTCTATTTTGCTAATTGGTAATTTAAAAAAAAAACACAGAAAAAATCAGTTTATTGCGGAGAAATCTCAAACGAGTGTTGTATTTCTCAACTGTTGACAGTCCTTAATTCATATGGTACGATCTATTTTGCTAGTTGGTAATTTTGCAAGAAAAAGAAAACAAAAAAAAAAAAAAAATTGGGTTACGGAGGTTTAAGAATCACTGATCTATGAGGATGAGGAGCACTGGAAGAGTTGCCGTAGGACGTGCTGGAATCGTAGGATGAGACGGTGAAAGAGGAGGAAAGCGTAGCGCGATGAAAGGAAGAAGGTGGATCGAGGAGGAAAGACGGTGGATGGACAGGGCTGGGCGAGAAAGAAGAGAAGCGGAAGAGGAACACAGGGGGATGAGAGAGGGAGAAAGTCGCGTGGAAGAGCGTCGTGTAAGGTGAAAGAGGGAGAAAATGTTATGGAGAGAGGCGGAGGAGAGCCGGAACGACCCGGGGGTTGCCGTGGCGTTATCGACCGGACTGGTGGTCGGTACGAAACCAGGCGTCGGCGCCGTGGATGCCCCGGCTTCCTCGAGTGCCGGACCATCCTCCACCTCCATCGGTGCCTCCACCGCCGTCTCCACCACCACCGTCGGCAGCAGCACCAGCACCACCAGCACCAGCACCGCCACCTCCATGGAGGTCGCGCGGCTGGCCGTCAGTGGAGCCTGGGACAGACAGCCGATCGCACGCACGAAGGGTGCGAGTCGTCCCTGGGATTGCACGGATCGGTTTTGGTCGGTTGCACGTTGCTAGTGGAATATATATGGTCGATTGACATGGTATTTACCATGTACTCATCCCCCATCGGTCCGTTCCCTCGTTAAATCCTCAATGTTGGTGGCTGCCGGTCGACCGTTTCGAATTGCCGCCGCGACGCGGTGAAAAGATTCCCGGAGCGTAGCGGCCACGGGAGGCGCGATCGCGAGATGAAGACACCTTGTGGGTAGTGGTGGTGAGGGTGCAGGTGGTGGAGTGGTGGACGAGTTTCTTCGCGAGCCGAGCAGACGGTGCCTGAGCTGCACGAGTGTCGTGTGAACTGGACCGGACGTGGATATGACAGCGGTCTGTCGTTGATTGGATTTCATTGCCGCGATGTGCCGGGTCTGTGCGACACCTACGACACCGGACCAGTGGATGGAAACTCACGGACCGAACGGAGTCGGTTGTTCCCATCGAAACTGGTACGGAAAGTTCTTCCTCCGGGGCACCGCGAACGATTCTTTCTTCTAACCGCGTCGCGCGACTGTTGTTGTTATCGTCGACGAACGGATTTGTGTCTCCTGATCGCGTAAATTGCGAACAAGTTGCTCCTCCGGGCTTACGGTTTAATAGTAAACTACTTAGCGAAGTGTTAACTTTGTTCCACGCCTGGAAGCCGTTTAAGTTCCCAAGATATGCAAATACCCGACGGATAGGGAACTTTCGGTTTGCTCGTGGCTTGATCGCACTCGTAAAGGTTTTCAAACATCTTGCACGATAAATTCTCCTTGGAAAGCAACAGTTTTGCCTGTTATCCTCCCGATTACGTTTGGTGATTTGAAACTGGTCCCAGCGTTTACCGTTTGACACGATTCGGATCGTCGAATGTCAACCGTATAAATTTTTATCGGTCGAACGGTTATTCGAGCAACAATCGCATTTTCCCAATAGTCGTCCGTTTATTGGCCTATTAGCACCCACTGGCGCGACCCGTCGAACGAGTTAATGCACGGACGTGATTTTCGTTTTCCGGACCGTTCGAGATCCAGTAATCCAGCGCCGGTTAATCGCGTTCGAGGTATTACTTTCGCAGTTTTCCACGGAACGTAGATCGAGCGTCGCAGACGGGGAACAGAAGTTCATAATTCCGCCCTAATCCGACTGTCGTATCCGTATCTCGATAATTCTCGGGGGATTGATCGCGGCGGTGTGGAAGTTTCAGCGGACAGCTTGGCTCGGCGAATTATTAATCGTTCTGTTCGTCCCCCCTGCAATTAGCGCGAAGCTAGGAATTTAATTTCGCCGCGAGAGACACTTCTTCTCCCTTTCTCTTCCGTCTGTCTCGATGATGGCCCAGTTATCCATATTCGTATCGTCGGTTTGACGGACGCGGATGTTCGTCATCGCGAATCTAACACTTAATCCGGCGACACTTTGATCCTCTTTTGAAGTTGCAAAGCCTCACCGACACCGGACCAACTTTCGCGTTCCAAGCCTTCGATAGGCGACGAATCACCAAGTAGTTATCCTATCGCCGATCCGCGTTTGCACTTTGATCCGACTCGAGGATCAAACTTTTCTTCGTACGCGAACGCGAACACGATCGTTGCTCGAACGAAATGTGACATAATCAACGACCGTCGCACGGAGGATGAAAAATCATCGTGTTAACGTCTCGTCGCTTTTCGTTGGAAGAATTGTATGGTCTGTGAGCATTTTAGGTTGCAGAATTCGAGTTTAAGATACTTGTTAGGCCAAAGTTAATCCTTCTGGGGGGCAGCAATTCTTCGACTTTACTTTCTCACACGAAATGTACAGTGAGTGTAAAAAGTATTCGTACGTTAGTCAATTTGAACAAAAATATTCATATTCTTAGAAATCTCTGGAACAAATGTCATTAACAATAAATTATTTATTTATATTTATTATGAAAATATTAACAAATTTCCAGAAATTGGCGTGAAATATACATACGTGTAATAAGTATTCGTACGCTTCTAATTTTACAACAAAAACTATAAATTTTAGTACATAAACGTAACAAATTGGACCATTTTTATGGAGTTTTTCACACTTTACGGGGTCAAGGAACAATTTCTTCAATATTGTTAAAATTTCTACATATTCTTCACTAAAATACGCGTTATTTGCATTTTAAAACATGAAAGTCCTCCGATCCGTTCAGAAGTTATGACGTTTTAAAGATACGCATACAATTTTGGAGTGACATTTCTGGCCTGAAATTATATTTTCGTTTAGGAATTTTTTTCTCGATAATGGTTAGGATTTCGAGAGTGTGACTATTGGCCAAAAGTGAGTGTAATTGACCCTTGCAACCGAAAATAATTTTTTCAGAACGATTTGAGACACATGAAATTTCAGGGGAATCGTTCATTCATGATCAGACATTACATTTTCGGTAATGAATTTTTTTCTCGCAAGTGCGTAGGAATTCGGTGGTATGTCTATTGACCAAAAATGATTTTAATTGACCTCCGCGACCAAAAATAATTTTTTCAGAACGATTTGAGACACATGAAATTTCAGGGGAATCGTTCATTCATGATCAGACATTATATTTTCGGTAAAGAATTTTTTTCTCGAAAATGCGTAAGATTTCAGGGGTATATGTGTTCACCAAAAATGATTGTAATTGACCGTCGCAACCGAAAATAATTTTGTTCAAAATGATTTGAAATTTTTTAATTAATTTTTAGTGCTCCGGAATAAAGGTTTTGTGAAGGTTTCAGTGCTTTTATTAGGAAACGTTTCACAAAATGAATAAAATTCCATGTACAGTGAGTGTAAAAAGTATTCGTACACTAGTCAATTTGAACAAAAACTTTGCAGAACTTTGTTTATTACAAAAGTATGTTAACAAAAACATACATAAATATTCTTAGAAATCTCTGGAACAAATGTGATTAACAACAAATTATTTATTTATATTTATTATGAAAATATTAACAAATTTCCAGACATTGGCGTGAAATATACATACGTGTAATAAGTATTCGTACACTTCTAATTTTACAACAAAAACTATAAATTTTAGTACATAAACGTAACAAAAATCAGTCTATTTGCTATTTTAGTATCTAGTGGGATTTCCTTTAGATCGTATAATCGCTTTAAGCCTTTGCGGCATTGAATTTACTAAATTTTTGGTTACAGTACTAGAAGTTTTGTTCCATTCCTCTAAAAGTGCATTTTTTAAATCTTGTTTCGAAGAAATGTGATGGTCTCGAATTTTTTCTTCAAGATGACTCCATAAGTGCTCTATCACAATTACGTCTGGAGACTGTGGAGGGATTTTTAATTGCTGCGGCACATTATATAGGATCCACTGACGTGTATTAGAAGCATTATGCTTTGGATCATTATCTTGCAAAAATATATAATTGCCCTGTAACTGCATTTTATTTGCCCTAACCTGAAGATGCTCTTTTAGAATATCGATGTACATTTTGTGATCCATGATACCATCGATAAAATGGAGGGATCCAACCCCGCTCGCACTCATAGAGCCTAACTGCCAAACTGTGACTGATCCTCCTCCATGCTTTACGATCGCCTTCAAATTTCTTTTCTCGTACTCGGTATTTTCTTTCCGCCATACTGTACATCGTCCATCTGACCCAAAATATGTTTAATTTACTCTCATCGGTAAATATAATACGGTTCCAGTGCTCCATACGAACATTAACGTACTCTTTCGCGAATTGCACGCGTTTCTTTCTATTAATTTCATTTACGAAATATTTCTTACGAGCTACTCTGCCGTGATATCCTCTATCCCGTAAAAAATTACGCACTGTGCTACTGCATACATTAATGTCCAGATCATTATTAAGTTCAGCTGTGATTTTCACCGCACTTATCTTTGGATTTTCGATTATCTTTATCTTTCGAATTATCCATCGGCCGGTATACTCATTTATTATTCGTTTGCGTCCGTTTCTTGGATTATTTTTTACAGTTTTTCGATCGCCATATCTGTCAATGGTTCCTTGAATCGTGGACCTCGGTCTATTTAAAACTTTTGAAATTTCACTCAGTGTTTTACACTTATTATGTAAATTTATAACAATTTTCCTTTCTTCTTCAGAGGTTTCCTTGCGTTTTCGTCCCATTTTACTGATAATTTCGTTGATAATGTTTGAATTCAGGATACTACCTACACCCTCAGCGTCTCCAAACATACTAAGTATGTTTACATATCGTGGATTATCTTGTAATCGTTCTATGTGGAATGTTACGAATCAAAGACTGTACATATACTTATTACGCGTATATTTCACGCCAATTTCTGGAAATTTGTTAATATTTTCATAATAAATATAAATAAATAATTTGTTGTCAATGACATTTATTCCAGAAATTTCTAAGAATACGTATGCATGTTTTTGTTAACATACTTTTGCAATAAACAAAGTTCTGCAAAGTTTTTGTCCAAATTAACCAGTGTACGAATACTTTTTACACTCACTGTATATATTTTCGGTTCATTGATTTTCATCTTTTGCACAATTATTCTCTTGCTGAAATATGCAAATTGATATATTGTAATACCTCCATATATCCTAAAAATGTTTTTCGTAGTTTTCGCCACAAGTGACTGATTTTCATTTACAATTTTCCGTGTACATAAAATAATTCATACAGAAAGTGTGCTTAGAATATTCTCTAAGTATAATACACGATTGTCAAGTCAAACCTAATAATTAGGCGATTACATAACTAGTTTTTATTACTATCATTCGAAGAATTAGAAAGTATCGATAATCGCCATTTAATCACAACAATAAACCGTCTACAAACTTTGGTTCGAATTTTCGAGGAAACAGAAAGTAGCAACCAGTGTCAGGCTTGAAACAAATTAGAATTTGTTCATCATTAATCGTTCGTCAATCATTATTCCGATTAACATTGCAAAATCTTACAATTTTGATTTAAACCCATAGTTTATAGTATATTTTTATAATTTATATCTGTCTGATTGTTTGTTCTATTTCGTACATAACACGTAATAAGGTAGAATATTTTATTTTGTTTTTATCTGAAATGTTAAGAAATGATCAGCAGAAACGATTTAAACACAGGCAAAGGGTTAGGGTGAAATGTGCCCTTGAACCAAATGTGACATACGATGGATCCATCGATAGAGCATCAAGAAAAAACATTCTGTGCCAAATTTTAACCCTCTATCTTGTTTCGAAGGGTAGTTATTGAGAAAATTCGGATTAACGAATTTGTGCCTATTTTCCCTATTTAATCGAGTACAAAAATTATGAAAAAAATCTGGTGCATTGTGGTTATTGAGATACGTGTTTGAGAATTTTTTCCGATTTTTCGATTCCAAATCCTAGGTGTGAAAAATTGAAAACGCAAAAAAACACAGAAAAATACGGATTTCGTATTGAAGCTTTCGAGACACTAGATTTATATAATTACTGTAAATGCGTATTGTCATTGGTTATCT